CTGTCCAGACCCTTTGCTGAAATTGCAAAGGCAGGGCGTGGAGGAGAAACTTGTAGACATCTTGCTTGCTTGGTAACACGCCTTGTGCTGCTTAGCTGTACTATCGTGCCGCAGCACCCCTCCTTCAGTTCGAAGGCGACCGAGTCTTCCAAAGCATATCGACTCTTGGTCGATGGAGGCGCCTGTGCGCATTTCGTCGTGACTTAACAGGGCAGGGAGGCCCTCAGCTTGGAAGTTCCGGTTGCTGGTGAACTCCATCTTGGCCAGGTCCTGTTTCGCCTGCCGCACGCTGCCTCAGCATTCCTAATGAAGGGCAGGGTGTTGATGTGTAGCGCCGCCAGCACTTCAATGGGCTTTGCGAGATTTTGTTGCGACGCTTGTCTTTGGGCTCTTGCATCAGAGCCTGTCTTCGATTCAAGTCTCGAGAAGCCCAACAGACTCAGACAGGGTTGCTTGCAGGGAGGCTTTCCCAAGCGTTCTGCTCAAATCGCGAGGGCACATGGATTGCGCCAAACCTGCTCGGATCCTGCTGAGGATCAGCCCGGCTGCTTTTCTTGCTTCTGCGGTTTGTTCTCTTCACGAAGTGATGTCGAATTCTCAGTTTCTCATGTCAACAATGCAAGCACGAAGTCGGTTAGACTCGTCGAAGCAAAGACGCATATATTCTGTCCTTCCTTCTTGCACCGCATACTTGACCGGCAGGTCTTGTCGCAGAATGCGCTGATTTTGTACACATCAGGAACGACGGGACAGCCAAAAGGCGCAGACATGTCGTCCAGAGAGCTGTTTATTCTTCTCATGCGGTGTTCCTTTTGCAGGCGTTGTTCACACGTTCAACAGCTGCAGCCTAAGAGTTGGCTGCAGCAAAACGGTGGGCAACGGAACGGCAAATGCAGAGACGAGGTCTCACCGCCCAAATGCGATCTCTCAGTGAGGCATGGAAGCCTGCTTCTCAGAGAATCCTCCAGCAGGATCTTCAATCCGCCTTTTGGAGCAAGGTGGTCTTCCAAAGACCGAACTCTGCACGTCCTCCCCCTCCACCATATTCATGGTGTCCTGGCCCCAGTCCGGTTGAAAGGATCTGTTAGGCACGACATCTGTTGAAAATTTGGGTCCTGCTCGTAGGTTCAGAACATCCTGAACACGGCGCTTTTCAACGGAGCAGCTGTCGAGTTGACGGCATTCGACGCTGCTTTCTGCCTAAAGCAAGCCACTCAGACTTATTGACACTCAGTTCACACTAGACTTCTACAAGTCGCAAAGACTCGGAATGCAGAGGCGCCTCGCCTCCGGAGACATCACCTGCTTCCATGCGGTGCCAACAGTGTATGTCACCTCTGGCCTGGTTCTGAAGCCGATGGGTTGGAAGCTGCGCCGTACCTTGTGGGCGCGGAATACGGTGTAAGTCTATCTTTAGCCCTTCCGATGGGATGCGCCAGGTCAAGTTTACACAGTACTTGGATTCACTCCCTGCTGATGCAAGACAAGCGATCTGCCGTCTCCTCATGACGGATCAAGCCGGCGCAGCTTCAAACGCTGTAATAAGTGTGCCAGGCAGGGGGCTCCGGAACGACTCTATGCGGTGCCCGAAATTTGCCTGCTTGTCTGTAACTCTACAACCTTGATTTCCACTGAAGTCCTCTTCGTGCTGCCACCAGTGAATGCGCTCCTCCAGGTACATGGTATCCGGCTCAGCAGCTTTACCCGTCGGGTGCTTGGCTGTCGGCCTCGAGTAAGATCACGGCACATGCTGCATCTGTGGTGCGCAGGTGCCGACCATGAAGTCCTGGGCAGAAATCTCTGGCCACGTCCTTCTTGAGCGGTGAGACGCCCAGTGTCTGCAGAGCCTGTCGGGCCTACCTTTGTTGAGGCCCAAAGCTCGAAATTTCTGCAGGTACGGCATGACGGAAATTGGCATGGCATTGAGCAATCGGGTAGCTGGCACTCGGTATCCAGGGCCTGTGCCTCAACAATGGCGGATCCGAAGTGTGGCGCATCCCTTCAAATCTGAACGCGAGGTGTGTGGGCTGGCCGCTGCCAGGGGTCGAGGTCAAGCAGGATCAGGCCAGCACACTCATGATTTGAGCATTGGCGATTCTAGCAACAGAAACAGCTCAAGCATTGACAATGCAAACATGTGCGATGCAAGCACGCGCGATTCATTAGGGTTGGGGTTCAAGGGTTTTGTGCCTGAGGGTTTCTAATTCTTGTTTGTAGGTGTTAAACTTGGGTTTGAAGGTTGGCAGGATTTACGGTGTGGTGTTTGTAGAAGTCAGGCCATTCAGGGTTCAAGGTCTAGGGTCCAGTGCTTTCGAGGTGTAGGGTCGTGGCTTTGCGGTTTCACGGTGTATCGGGTTCAAGCTCTGTGTGACTGTGTGCTTTGGGCTTAAAGCCTAGGGATTTTAGGGTTTAGGGGTTGTGAATTGCGCGGATGTTGCGGACTCCGTTCGTCAGTGCAAATCTGCAGCATTCTTTTTCTGTTGCGAATCGGTTCTTCTGGTGCGCAGATTTGAAACTGGAAACTCGCGGCGGCGGGATCCCTCTTCCTCACTCTTTCGCTCTCTCCCCCCCCCCGCCCTCTCTCTCTCTCTCCCCCCTCGCTCTCTCTCTCTCTCTCTCTCTGTCTATATATCTCACTCTCTCTCTCTCTCTCTCTCTCCCATCATCCCCGTATGAAGTGTGCAGCGAATCGGAGTCCTGGGCTGCAGGAAGGTGGCATCCTCGTCAAAGGCACGAGCGGTTTTCGAGAGGCGCACCCAATTTCGCTGTCTTTGATCCCGGGCCGAGGTGCAGCGGTTTTCAAGGAGTACTACAAGAGACAGGATGCTGTCGGTCTGTGCCGGGTCTGCTTGCACGACTTTTGCTGAATATGTGAGGAGGCAACGGCTAAGGAGTTCACCGAGGATGGATTCTTCAGGACCCTGCCTGCTCAATTTTTGTGACCGCGCACGTGCTCCTGCAGAAGGACCGGTGACAACGCTCGGGGCTTTCATGTTCTGCGGACTGCCTGAGTCTGCTCCTGGTGCCCTTGCGAGGCAGCGAAAGGAGGAAGCGGGGAAGAGCTTCAGGCTCTGCAGGAGACAAGCGAGATTTCTCTTTGGAAGAGCTCGCTGTGGATAGTTTTGAAACCGGTGTGCCAAGCACAGGACGATGCGCGCGAGGTCGAGGCTTCTACTGGCAGGCCACGTGCAGATACGACCACTGCTCGGTTCCCGGAAGATCTCAAAGCAAAAAAGCTTCGAACTTCCGATGGCTCTTGTGAGGCTCCGGACCCTGCGCTGGCTGCGATTTACAGAATTCTAGGCTGAAAAAGGGTTGCGAGGGGTTCGCGCGACACCTGTATGCTTCCACAAGTGACAAGCAGTCATCAGGCCGAACTTCTGTGGACATCATCAAGAGTGGTGGCTACAAGATTTCGGGCCTAGAAATTGAGAGCGTGCCCCACTGTCGGTCTGCTTTGTCTGTGTGCGTGCGTGTCTGTGTGTATCAGACCGGCAGGTACTGCTGCAGCACGACAAGATTCGAGAATGCGCAGTTGTAGGAAAGCCTGACGAGACCTGGGGTGAGAAGGCACCCGGTGCGTTGAAGACAACTCTGAGACTTCGTCGATGATTGGGTCTAGGTGACTGCAGTTTGCGTGCTGCAGAGTGGTGCCGTGTTGACAATCAAGGAGCATCCTTTCTGTCGAAGGAAGGTGTTATCGTATGAAAGGGTGGAATCACGGGTTGCTGTCAGCTTCGTGAGGAGCTTAGAGAATGGGGCAAAGAGCGGATGGCATCTTACAAGGCCCGGGAAAGGGGTTTGAACTCGCCTCAGCACTGCCTGCAATCAGCCTCTCTTGCGAAAGGTACCTCAAGAGCTGGATATTGTGACCGAGCTGCCAGGGTCCCAGTTGCTGGTAGACACCAGCATTTTTCAGCCCAGCAAAGGTTCCCAGCATACTCTTGACAAGGCCACGAAATCAAATGGGCAAGTTGGAGAAAAAGAAGATTCTTCAGAGGCTTCGGCTCCATGTGCTGCCCTGGAACTTCCGAGTGAATGGCATGGAAGGTACGGTGCCAAGTGATGGCCTAATCCTTCAGCTGCATGCGCTCGCCAATCTAGATTGTTTTCCTCTGTAGCGCACGTAAATGATTCGCTGCAAGTGCAGCCATTATCTCATTCTGTTTACACATACTCTTGGCCTGCTTGTGCCTTCGAACTTGAGCTGTTCAAGGCAGATGGAGACGAGAGATTGTTTGTACTGCCCACACGCGGCATTGATTATTGGTGCTCGTCCGCAAACCGGCTACTTCGGATGAATCTGACCGCAGCCATGTCACACATGCTTGCGCAGGCCCTATCCCGGACTTGTGCAATCTCCCAACCCGGTTTAAGTCAACTGGATCAGTGGCTCGGCTGGTTGGCTCGCAGCTCTGCACCTTCACCTCAAGGGTTCTGGTGCACATGGGCCGAAACTGGAAATAGATCGACACTTCAGGTGGTCCTGCAGACAGTTAGAGCTTGAAGCTGCGACATGCAAGAACCTGCTGACAGGCAACCTCAGCTTCAAGGTGTTTCAAGGCGTCCCTGCGGTCTCGTGCCTCTCTAGCTGCACGCTGCATGAACACGATGGTGTAAGTGGACATAGGTGGGTGTATATGCATTTGTAGGGAGCTGTATTTTTCCATAGAAATATTGAGTTTTCATCGCGCCATGGTTCGGGAATAAAGGCCAGTTTCATCAGAGACAAGCGTGGGATTTATCAAAGAGACGTGCGTGAATTATGAAGAGCACGCGTGGGTGTGCAGGTTTTGTTTGGGGTTTAGGGAATCCGTTGCGCGTGTGTGAAAATATTTTCCCTGCAAAGCCCCCCGCCTTGCGCCTGATAATCCCGACCTCTTCTCGATGAGTCCGCCGCAAGCCGGTCCATGTGTTGAAGCATGGCGACTGAAAAAACCATCACCCTGTATTTGTATATTTTGTAATTACAATGCAGATGATTACTTCTGCAGGTAAAGATGACGATGTCCATGCCGAACATTGGTTGGAACAGCCAGGTGGACTCTGCGAAGGCACGAGAGAACAAAGCCACCTGCATAGATTAGCAGACTCTATCAACAGACCCCCACTGCCGTAGTAGCAAGCACGTCTGCGGCCCTCTGCCACACACACACACACACACATGCAGGCATTTAGCGCCAGCGCATCTCAGCCGCAATCGAGTCTGATGCAACAAACATGCGCATGGTCAGGAGGCTGTCCGGCTTCCTTGGGTTGCCAAGGTTTCTGTCGATCACCTGCATGGAGAGTTCATGAAGGCATTGTGCCTGTGACGGTGTTGGGAGACGAGCTCGTGGCGGATGCTTGTCGAGGTTCTGGATACGGTCGAGGAGATAAAAATGGAGAAAGTAGAAGCAGCGGAGGAGGCCCCTGGCACATGTGGCAGATGGATTTTCCCAAGCAGTGACGTAAATATTTTAAAGCCATCCTGTCAGAGGCCAAACGCTATGCGCGGGAACGTCGCCTTCGCGAAGAGGAGCTAAGGCTGCAGGCTGCCCGACCCCGAGCCTCCGTGCAGCATGGGCGCGTCTGAGTATGGGTCACAGCTTTCGTCTTTGAGGGCTTGGCCGGTTAGCCTTGTGGCCTTGTGATAGCTTGTCGACGTCGCTTCTCATAACTGTGCCAAAGCAGCAGCCGGTGTCTCGGTCCTTGATAAGGTATCGCCTGCCCAGAGGTTTTTGATTCTTGTTTTCCAACACACTGCAGCAATCGGTGTCCATGGCTGCAATCTTGCACTTAAAGTCTTGTGTGAGCTTGACTTGGTAACCTCAGGAGCAGGGCGCACGAGACTCACCCGAGAAGCAGGTTCTTCACTTACGCTTTGAAACCCCAGTCGATTGCTCCCCAGCACAGCTCTGCAAGATGTCAAGGCCCTGTTGGGCTTGCCAGACGTTGCTCGGACCTCTGTGTGCCCCTTTCGTGCGAACCTTAAAGCTCTCGGAGTTTCGTTCTGGCAAAGGCTCCAGGTGATGGGGCCGCCAAGGCCCCCTCTTGCTGTCAGACGGAAAGAAGCACGGAAGGAACCACGTCCAAATGCTCTTGGTGTAAGGTGAGGCCCCGCAAGAAGAAGGGACAGAAGAAGGAACCATATGCTCGTGGTTTGCTGCACAGTTGCTCCCGTGGACGAAAACAGGAGGACGTTTTCCAGGACTTCGGGAAGGCAAGTCCGAAAGCAGCCTTACCACGTTGCTCGACTGGAAGTGTGCTGTGCAAACCGAGGAGCATGACGACGCCCCAATCCAGGAAATTAAGAAGAACGGCCTGGTCGGGTGCTTTGGTGTCATGGTGGGCTGATATCGCAGTGGCTACCGGGATAAGCCCGATCTGTTGAGATGTTGATGCGGCAAGGTCTTCTACCATCTGAACTACAAGCGCTACTGGCAGCAGCTTTCCCAGAATCCGAGACTGAAGCGTCAACTCAGCACCGGCACTGCGGTTTGAGAATTCCTTTTGCTAAGAATAGGCAGATGCATATACATATCTTCTACCGTAGCTCAGCTCGGCTTCGGAGCCTGTCCCATGCCTCCATTCCTCCAGCATGCTGTGAGACTTGTCCTAGCCAAGCAGTCAGAGCGGTCTGCGGGTCTGCGCGGTCTCTCTGCATATCCACACATCCCAAGGTCAGATCGGGATTTGGAGAGATGGGCTAAGGCTGCGGTGCCATTATGTGCGGTTTGAGAAGTAGCATCGCAGCAATGACACTTCGTGAATTTCGCTTGCAGTCGATGTCTGATTTCAAGCTGCTCTAAGCCTGAAGCGGCCGCTCGCTCCAATCGCACAGTTTCCCGGCCTTCAACCGTTTCTGACCAGTCTCTTGGGCACAACATCCGGCACGAGAAGCTGCTCTTCGAGGCGGGTCTTGGTTGGGCATGTGAACATGGCTTGGATATCCCCTCGAGCCCTAGAGGTGCGAAACCGCTGGGCCGAAGATCTTCTTGGCGATCGGATGGAGCTGAAGATCCGACACAATCCTCTTGTCAGGCCGCCTTCCTCACCCCCCAGACTTCACCAGCCTGTAAAGGTCTACAAGTAGTGCAAACTCTCGATAGCTGCGCAAGGTCACGCACGCAGGAGAGACTCAGACCGACCACCGGTGTGTCGGTGGCCTTGCAGCTCAAGGATGTATCTCATTGTTCATGGCCATTCATCGCTCTGTTGGACCATGTTCCTCGGACCAGAGCAATGCGAGCCCAAACACTCAATGGCATCAATGGCATGTTCGCCAAGTGTGCATGACAGCGCCGCTGCATTGGTCCAAGTTGGTACAGATGCATGCTGATTTGCGCTTGGCCAAATGCCCATATTGCTGCAGACGGCTGCTTTAGTTCCAAAATTACTGCATGGCTTGGTTTCCGATGCACTAGGCTCTTCGTCTGTGCATCCTCTTCACTGCGGCTTCGATGCGTGACGCATGTCTGACCGGTGGCCACTGCACAGGCATTGCGACACGGCCGCTGGTACCACTCTCCTTGCTCCTTCCAGGCAGTTGGCAAGTCACGAAGATCTTGTGCATCTTCCATGATCGAGCATCATGTCCACAGCATAGGGGCTTCAGCTGCACAGCTTGAGAGGCGAATGGCCCACGGTGCATGCCCTGACCTCGGGGGGAATCTTTTCCGGCCTGCTGGGCACAGTGTCAACGATCCTCACAGGACTGTGCTTTCTCTTACGAGACTAAATTCCACCGAGCCCCTGGCTCTGGCTTGGCCTGCATTCTCCGAGTCTCCGAGCTGAGATCCCCTTCTGGGTTTCCGATCACGCAGGAGTCAGCTGCGGAGCACTGCTTGGAGAAGCCGGGCTGTATTTGCTCAAACTCGCGGCAGCGGTCTATGCGACGGAAGCCTGACGCTTTCGGGAGCTTTCGGGAGACTTCAGGAGGATGTGTCCATGTTTCGGATGACAATGAGGGCAACACGTTTATGGTGTGCTGAGGATGGGCTCTTGCAGCTGGCGAAGATCCTCTTGCCTTCGTCTGTGGCGTACCCAGCCAGCTCTACAGGCAGCTGCTAAGCAGGGTATTGACACAGTTTCTGACACAGCTCAAGTCAAAAGTTGTGAGGGCATTCTCGATTGGCCTGCATTTCGAAGGCGTCTTCGCACTTTTCCTGCAACTTCCCTTGGCAACGTTCATCCTGTCCGAGAGCGCGGTCAAGGTCGGGCGAAGCCTTTCCCACGTCTAAGTGTTGATGCAAAACATCCTGCTGTAATGCTGCAAGGAAATTGGGCAATTGTGCGGCCCAGCTCGTCTGGCGATGCTGGCAGGAGCAGCATGTCTTCGGCACGTGTCGACCCAGGCCTTTGAAATCTCTGCTGACATCTGCTGGCTCTGCGGCTTTGCTCTTCCGCGCAAGATTTGTTGCCGAGTTTGCTGCAGATCGCGGATCCCTCATCGGGACCGGCCTTGGGTCTTTTAGCGATGGCCTGCATTCTTGTTGTTTTCGTCCCGCACTGAGTTTTAGAGTTTTCTTGTATGGGATTGAGCGACTGAAGTGCGTTCTTTTCTGAGGGATTGAGCCCGCAAAGCTTCTGGAGGACGATGGCAAGGATCTTGCGAAAGGCTGCCAAGGTCAGGACTCAGAAGCCTTTTTTGCTGCCACTGTAGAAGAGAACAGAACCACCCAGAGGTGGCAATTGCAGTGGGCTCTTCAGTCTATGCGGTGGTGACCTGGCTATTCCCGAAAATTCTGCATGTCCTGCCGCATGGCTGGAATTCCTCTTTTCTTGCTGCACGCTTGTGAGCACTTCTAGGTATTTTGAGATGTCTCAAGTGCTTGCCTCAGGCAGGCGGTGCTCCAGTTGCCTCCGCTGGTTTGGCTGTATGAGGCTGGAAGATCTGGAAGGTAGGATGTTTGCCGTCATCGCTCTGGCGTGCGAAATCTGTGTGAGCTGCTTGTGCCTGTGGGACGTTGAGGCGATCGTGTTTCCGTTGTGGCAGATCCTCAGCCCTCTGTTTTTGCCCCTCGCAACCGGCGGTATTGCGTTTGCAAGCTCTTTGGCCGCAGAAATTCGCACGAACAGAAGTCTTGTGTTCATCTCAGTCTTGTATCGCCCCATGCGCTCTGGCGAGAGCAGACTAGGTTTCCGGAGTTTGGGGACTCTCCTGAACCCAGACCCTGCGGCGGTGGACGTGCCTCGGCACTTAGTGGCACTCATCGGTGGGATTGCGAGAGAGGCTGCGAGCCCAGGCAGCACGGATGCTGGGCCAAGTCTTCTGCGGCTGCTCAGCGGCTCTCTCTAGCTGCTGCCTGATCCTGAACTACGCGTACAGGATCTGGCCGAGGCTTGGATGCTTTTTCGATGAGGCTACTGGGAGAGAGCCGTTAAGCTTTCTGTGAGGCGTGAGCAGCCAGATCCACTTCGGCACCCTTGGCTTCTGAAAGCGTGCCCCATCTGCTGTTGGTGGGGGTGCTTCTTAAGGATCTGTCTAGGAATTGTCGTGTAGAGCCCGGTTGACCCAAGAGTCCAGTGGACCGGGAAACTTGTCATGGCAGTGCACCTACTTGTAGCAGATTGTAGCAGTGTTTTCGGGACCACCTGTTAGTCCGAGGCCTCTGATGCGCTTGCCGATGAGGCTGCCATGTAGCTGAGGTTTATGTATCCAGCAGGCCTTGTCGCAGTGCCGGTTCGAGCAGTTCGCCTGCTGTGGCGTCTGTTTATGAACCGATTGCTGCGACCGGTCTTGGCTACTGAGCGGCACATGGCGGCACTGGTCCTGTATCCTTCACTAAGTCTCGCCTGTGGACCTGACGGATGGAGCCAGGCTGTGTTTGTGAACTGCATCGAACACCTCCTGGAGTTTGCAGTCAAATGTCCCATTGTTTCGATACCGGCCGTCATCTCCTTCAACGTGGTCCTCATCAGCAGCTGCACTTGCAGTTATTCGCTGAAACGATGTAGCCAGCTACGAGGCTACATCAATGTGGGTTAGGTACTAGCCTATCTGTGGTTCACCACCGTTCGAAAAGTTTCCCCTTGGAGATCCCCGAGTCTGTAGAGTCGTTATACCTCAACCTGCAAAACTGGCACCGCTTCGCTAACTTCTCATTGGCCTTTCACCATTCCGAGGATCAACATCGACATCCGGTGCGATCTTGCATGCCCGGTGCCCAGACCCGGACCCATCTCGACACATGCTGCAGCGACTGCAAACGAAGCTGCAATGAAATTCAACTCATATTTCCTCTTGGCTGGCAGCATTGCCTGATAACATCTCGTCAAACGTGGTTAACACCGTATGAGCAGTCACAGTTGCCAGTTGGCCTGGCAATACCATCGTGCATCGTGAAGACTTTGAACCTTTGAGGTGCTGGCACAGAGCTCCCCATTGGCTTTAAGCCTCCTCCGCAGCCTGGCAAAGCTCCAAGCTGTCGTGGCCGAAGGAGCTGACGATTTATGAAAACAGTCTTGTCGAACAGACCAAGTCTTGGCCCGAACGGCTTGCCGGACCTGTTGCCTTCAGATTGAAGCAAGAACTCTTTGTCGTTTTCTGTGAGTTGTCGCGGCAATTCCATTCGACCATTTCTGACATGGCCAAAGCTGAATCCAAACAACCACCACACTCTGCCAAACAACTCGTGTCGTTAGGTTTATTTCGCGTTATCATGGCGTCGACGATCACAACTTTTCCAAACACTGCGTAGGCTAATTAGCAGATTCAGATGAGAAACAGCTTAATTTAGAGGCAGTAGACCGACCTAGCTCCGCCTGCAGCAACTGGTTCTCTGTTTGTTGGAGCTCAGAGCTCCCCAAAAATTGTGTGAGTCACATTGATGTGTCCCATTCACGGCAACCTCTAGTAAACGGCGAAAGGTTGGTGCGCTATGAGGTGAACGATGTGATAACCCATGACACTTTCGGCTTCTGAAACGAAGCTCCAAAGTGCGCTGCATACACAAAATATGGATGGATCTCCAGAACTCCGCCTTCTTTTTGAAACAAACACAAGCAATTTCCGCACATTGAAGCAGCCCGGTGCAACAAAAGGGCATGGGGGAACAACAAATTCGCAGCTGTGGGTGTCGCATCAAGACGCAGCAGCAACCTAGCTGCACAACACTAGTCATTAAAGAGGGCTCACTGCTGTTGGGCCCAAGCCCGCGTAATATTGCAGGAATGGCCTTAACGATCAGACTTGACGGGAATTGCAATTAGCAAACAGCGCGCACCGTAAATGGCAACTCTTAATCTATGATGCAGTTATACGTAGCAGACTGTTGTATGGGCTAGAGACAATCTATCTAACGAAGTCGCTGGCCTCCAAGCTCAATGCTTTCCATCATCGAGGTTTGCGAAAGATATTACATCTAGATTCTTCTTTTGTAAACCGCGCAAATACTAATGCTCGACTGTTTGAAGCAGCGTCACAAGCTGCAGGAAAGCCGGTTGTCCCTTTTGACCAAATGCTGAGCACTAGAAGAGTCAAATTAGCGGGTCACATTTTAAGATCCCCTGATACAGATCCTTTGAGGCAAGTTAGTTACCAATCAAGCAGTGCTCAACCGTACGAAATTGGTCGTAGAAGAGTCGGACGCCCACGTCAGCAATGGCTACATAATGTTAATTCAGTTATATTCAGTACTCTATCCAACTGCCAATATGTAGCTAGCAGTCAACAGAATGACATGATATTGCGTGGTGCTAGACTCAGGACTTTCTAAACAGCGCTCCGTCAACCCTCCAAAGCGCCGAAGCGCGTCATTCCACTGCTGTTTTGGCAAGATGCGCAAGGCTGTTGAAAAAATAGCGCACACCTCCACTAAGCGTCACTGATAGCGCTATTTCCCCTTCCGCAGCGGCGGCACATGCCCTTCTCCGTCTTCGAGCTGCACCTCGTCTCTTTCCGGAAGACGACAGCCACCGAAGGAGCCACCGACTCCACCTTTGCCCTTGTGCTTATCGGTGTCGTGCAGGTGCAGATCCGAGTGCTACTTGCAGCAAGTTGTGAACATGCTGTTTCGTGTGGGGTCAGGCGACATCCTTCGCCATCATTGATGGCATTCTCTCGGTGTTGCGCGTGATACGCAGTGACCCTGCTGCAGTTTGCCTAGCAAACCTGTGGTTTCGAACGTCGGAAGTTGCAGCTTTTGTCAGGTCCGAGCACAGGCCAAGTGCTGAGTTTGGAGGACGCTGACTGCAGGCACACGCTGCCATCACTTGGTCGGCGTCGTGTGCCGAAGGAGCTCAACGAGGTTGCGGCCGCGATGGACGATCCTCGACAGTGTGGCCGATGTGGCTTCGGTCCTGTGGACCACCGAGGCTCCGGTTATGGCTGTTGGCGCTTCACAGCATGATGCCTTCGTCCATCAGGTTGTTCAGACTTGTCAGAGCATCATGGCGAAGTCTCCATACCTGGAGGGGCAGCCATCTCTAATCGCTGCCCCCGTGCCTCGAGCTGCAGTTGGTCAGCGAAATCAACAAGTTTGGTGGTGTGACATATCCATCTACGGAGGTTGACACAGGTTGCTGCTTCGCAGGCTGTGGATGGTTCGTGAGCATACTGTCAGAATGGCCGGAGTGGGATGGTGAGCTGCGGACACCTGGTCTGCATCCGACATTGTGTCTACACATATTTGATGTTCAAAAAGTCGCAGCACTTCCTACGAACTTCTTGGGCAGTTTGTTATTGTTCCTAAAGTTTGATTTGGACCAGGACTGAGCATGGCCGAGCACTCTACCGGCAACGGGCCTGGTGTGAGATCGTGGTCTGCGTGAGGGCCGCCTCGAAGGCTCTTGTTGTGCCCTACGCTATGTTGCTGCTGGGAAATCAGTACCTGGGTTCTCCAACTCTCACCGCCCTGCTGGTCCTGTCTTACCTTGCCCCCTGGGCCTACGAGAATGCGACTCTAGGCTGCCAGTAACCTGGAGAATCTCAGACCGGACACCTCAAAAGAGTGCGCAGCCGAGGAGTCTCTGCGAATCTTTGACGGCCTCGCAAGTCTATGCTCAGCATCCCGAACGTCGCTCGCAGAGGGCTCCCAGCCCTGGTTCTGCTGAATGTGGAGCTGGCCAGTCACACGCTCGGCAGCTTCCAGACATCAGCGAGGAAGAGGCCATCCAGGGCCGTCCTCTTCAGAGTTGCAGAGTGCGATAGGCCCTGCACTGCCCAGAGTATTTCTGCATGATGAGCCGCACCGAGTGTAGTTTTAGATGTCAGTGTCAACCACAGTGAAGCTAAACCGGGTAGGCATCAAGACCCGCCAGGCCCTTCGCAACATTCTTTCTGCGATTCCGGTGTGCATCTTCCTCAAGCAGGCACAACTGCCCGACAACTCATGGAGTAACTCAGGAGATGCTAGACAGTAGACGCTTGTATTGACTTGGCAGGGGGATGTTTGCAGCGTGTGCTTGGAGACCTTCCCTGCAGAAGCTGTTGATATCGTGACCAAGAGTGACACCAGCGAGGCCCGCCATTCGGGCCTGAACTTGAAGAGTAAACGTGCAGAGTTCGCCGTTTGCTGATCTACGTGTCGCTCTCCGAACATGCAGAGTACTAATTTTGGTACTCTGCTCCAGCATCTTGTGTGTGGTCTGTGGAAACTGACTGACAGGCCGCATGCAGAGCCTTGCGAGCCTTGCAGCCGCCAATCCTGGCACTTCGTTGCGGGCACCCGCTACATTTGGAGTGCGCAACCTGCTTGGATTAGAATGCTTCGTCCTTGTCGACCCCACCCAGAGTCCATTTTGGGCTCCTGCAACGTCTCCAAGGCCATGGCAGCGGTCACAGCGTCCTCTGAACGCCACGTGCGCTGTCCTTTGTGCCGGGAGCCCGTGACTCTGGCAGGGGAGGCTTCAGCGACGTTTTTCAGCTGAGGCCAGGGCCCAGGGCACTCATTGCCCCAAACCCAATCCCACATGTTATATACATCATACTTCGGTGTTGAAAGCGCACGTGGCCTGCGGCCCATGCAACACGACCACTTAAATCACAATCAGCACTGAATCAGGGGCAATGCCACATCCATCTGCAACGGCTATCATCGCATGTCTACCCGCAACGGTGTATGTTATGGTTTGTCCCTCTAACACTTTGCTCCTTCGCGCATGTCAGTTAGTTGAAGTTCCTCGTCTTGGCATTGGATGTACGGCGCCTTACCACGGCAGGCTGTAAGCATCCAGAACTCCTATAGCCCAGGAGCTCATCGGTTAAGCACACAACAGAACTCGTAGAGTCCAAAGTGTGCGCTAACCGCACTACGACACTGCAGCCAGGCACGAACCTCTGAATCCTTTCATGTTGCTCTGCCAGATCCAGGCCGAATGGCGTGTCGTTGACCCTTGTAAATATCCGTCGCGCATACAGAGCGACGCCAACTATGGAGGCACATGAACATTCAGGCTGATTCCCCTCCATGTGTACAGTTGGGATGCTGATGGAGTGCCAAATGGCTGCTTGCAATCGGGCTGCATATGCCATCACAGCACGTCACCAGCTACAAGCCTGAAAGATCGAAACCTTCAAGCCGGAGGGCCCATGCTAATTCAGTGCGCAGGACCTGCAAAAGCAGCTGGCGCCGAAGGACTTTGCATTCAGTTGGGTGGTGTAGTGGATTCGATTTCGATTCTGGCTTCAGGACCATAAGAAGAAGCGGGTCATGGCGGCACTGGCCCACAAACCGACGCTTGCCTGATAGCAGCAGCTTACGCCCCCCCCCCCCCCCCCCCGGCCTCTCTCTCTCTCTCTCTCTCTCTCCCTCTCTCTCTCTCTCTTGCCCTGTCCCCTTCCACGTTCCACCTCTTGTGCAGGGGTGGCATGTTCGGTCAATTCTTCGGTGGGCCCCGGCCTCTGGCTTGCGACCGCAATCTTAGCACAGCGCCATGGTGAGCAGTCGCCGCAGGGACGACTCGCAGGCCGTAGACGACGTCGGAGAGCCCCTTGCTTCCCGAGGCGACGGCCAGGCGGGAAAAGCTTTCTGTTGATCTTGGTGTGTCCAGTACTTGTTTCTATAGTACTAGTAGTAGATCAGCAGTATCAACCTTGCTGCTTGTAGTCCCGAATTGGATCTTCCTGCAGGGCTGGGATGACGCCGGCTCGCCATCAGCTGCGAGGAGCTTGTTGCGCAGCCGGTATATCATACAGCTGACGTGTGGAAGTCCTTGTGCTGTCCGAAACGCATATCTACCTCGTGCTCCCTCACATTGTCCAGCCTCGCGACTTTCATCCCGTTGAATCCTCATGCTTCATCCTGGCATGCGGGTCACCGGATCGAATGAACTTTCTGAAGGAGCGAAGCAGGAGACATGCCGGACAGGCCAACTTCCAGCTTGCCACAAGCCGCTTGAAAGAGTGCTGCAGTGCGGGAGGCAAAGCATCTCCGCGTGTAGCAGTCGAATGGGCATGTCAGCGGGCAAGCTCATCTCCCAGAACTCGCAGACACTCGAGCTGCAGGACCTGCAGCTCAAAGAGAAAAGTTGACAAGTTACTAAAGGTGTCGCGCTGATGTATTGTACGCGGTAATGTAATGTTCCCTGAACCGGACTTCCAAATCGCCATGTTGCACTCCGAATTCCCTACGATGTGCAGGAGCTTGGAGACTGCGACCTTCCGGAAGATGACGGTCCATGCCTAAGACGAACACTTGCTGCACAGCATCGCGCCTAGATGATAGATAGATAGACAGAAATACAGACCGATAGAGATACAGATATAGATATAGCTAGGATATGACAGGTGTATAGACAGCTGTATAGACAGGTATACAGACAGATATACACAATAAATATGCAGTGCAGGTATAGATACGGAGATGGATACAGATATACTACTACTCCTACTACTACTA